CTGGGATTGGGGGTCTGGACTAGGGGAGGGCTCTGGGGACCCGCGGGAGGGGCAGGGGCGACGGGTGTGGGCGCCTCCCCCCATCCTGGGCCCGTCCCTTCGCGCGCTCTTGGGGTCTGGGCACGCGGGGATGGGGGGCGCCTCGCACTGCCCGCTCCGTGGGGTCCCGAGACCCTGGGTTGGGGCTCCGGTGCGCCGGAGTCGGAAAGTGCCAGGTCTCCACCGTGGGGCCCGGTCCGCTTACGCCTTAGGCTATATGGCGGGTCTCTGAGCCACCTACTGTGTGCTTTGGCTGGGCCTGTCTGCTGGAAGTGGCCGCTAACTCGGGAATGAATGGCTGTGCGCTCGTCTCTCCGGCAGCGCGTGCCTGCGCGACGGGGACCCGACCCCCCCATCTTTCTATACTGAGTACCCCGCCTTACCGGTCTCTCCTGTCTCGCTCAGTCTCCAAGAAGGCCCTGAGAGGGAGAAATGTCTCCTTTTATCCCTCCCGTCCCCATTATCACCATCACCCTTACCGCTGTCCCCACTCCACGCCCCTACACACACTAGCCTGAAGTTTGAGAGGAACCACGATCCACCTATGTGGGAGAGCCCAGAGGTCCCTGGCAGGACCCACAGTCACTGCCACCCCTCCAAAGCAGCAGGGAGAGGGAGCAAAAACAACTACTCTCGGCTGCGTTTCCTGTGGAAGAGACTTAGATCCAGGCCGCCCAGCATTTACCTCTGAGTCTCATTGTGCACTTAACAGGTATTTACACACCTACTGTATACTAGACATGGACTGGTGCTTTGCATCAGCTGGGCGGTGGGGAGTGCCAGAGGAGGTAGGGACTTGTCTAAGTCCTTCCAGCCCCTCATTGCTTTCCCCTGGGGACTCTGGAAACCCTGAGCCAGGATGCATCTTTGGGAGCAGCCCAGGGGGCAGAGGTGCCCTGGGATAGATACTTCTGAGGAGTAGGTGGAGCCACTGATGTCCTACCCAGCTGCTGCCTTCGCCCACCACCTCCCCTGCCCCACTGGCCCCCCATGTCCTTGGGGTTGGGCTGAAGAGGTTGAGGTGGTCCCAAGAAGGCATTAGGCCAGAGGCAGTAGTCAGACCCTTGCCCAGCAGCACAGTTAAGTTCTGCCTACCTCGGCTTTCCCTGTGCCCCACCTTCCCCACTCCCAGCCATAATGCTAACACTGATGAGCCCACCTGTCCTGTCCCCATGTGTCGTGTCCCCCCCCCCCGCCCCGAGTCTGTTCCCTCCGCTGGCTCTTGCCCACACAGACCTCCAGGCAAGGATCATGTCTTAGGAGCCTGGAACTTGCAGCTCATGGCACAGAACTGGGCAGGGTTGTTGTGCAGTTAGTATTCAATGAAAGAATAATGGGGACACTGGCTGAGTACTTAGACTTCAGCCCACGTGTGGCTTCCCCAGGGAGACTTGCCCTTGCCACCCCCCTCAACAGATAATAATCATAAGCACCACCATTTATTAAGAACTTGTACTTGCTGGGCCGGCCCCATGGCTTAGCGGTTAAGTGCGTGCGCTCCGCTGCTGGCGACCCGGGTTCGGATCCCGGGCACGCACCTACGCACAGCTTCTCCTGCCATGCTAAGGCTGTGTCCCACATGCAGCAACTAGAAGGAAGTGCAGCTATGACATACAACTATCTACTGGGGCTTTGGGGAAAAAAAAAAAACAAAAAAAAACTTGTACTTGCTAAAGGCTGGGCTTGCACTGTCTCCTCTCAACCCCACTGGGAGGTGGGCCCATTAGGGGGCAGAAAGAGGAGGTGGGCTCCAGTGCCCACAGCCAGACCAGCCCTTTTCCTTTATTGCACTCCCCTGTCTTGTTGAGTGTCTACCTCCCCAGCTGCACTGCTTCAACCAGGCAAGATGCTCACCATCTTAACCTCATGCCCTGCACATGGTAGGCCCTTGAAAATGTTTATTTCTGTGCATTAATGAACGAATGAATGGAGAGATGGAGAGCAGAGGATGGGAAGGGCCTTCTCCCCACGAGGGACCCAGCCTTCTGAAAATAGTCTGATGAGAACAGCAAGGAGCAGGACCTAGGCAGGGGTCAGAGCATCCAGCCCATCCTTAGTGTACATAGACCTAGAGTCCCAACCAGAGTCACTCCCTGGAGAGGGGGTGGAGGCCAGAGCACCTGGCTCAGATCAGGGTCCAACCCTGGTTCTAGAGCCCCCAGAAGGTTCTGAAGGCCCTGGGCTGAACCTCAATATCTTAACCCAACCTCCACCCCTCTCTTCCAGAGGAGATGGGCATCTTGGGGCCTAAAAGCGTGGAGGTCAGGGTTTTAACCCTACACCTTAACCTCTACCAAGGGGCCTCTACAGGACCAGAATTCTTTTACATTTGGAAAACCTCCCCCAAACAGGACCCTCGTCAATTTTAGAGGATTGTTCTCATCTCCCCAAGGTGGGTGTCTCTAGAGGGGGTGCCTGGTACTTCCCAATCACGCCCTGTGAGTGACAGATGCAAATACTCCATCAGGGCCCCAGCAGGCCACTCTCCCTCCCTGGCTCGCTTGCTCGCCTCCCAGCCAGCTCGCTCCTTCTTTTATCTTATCAAAGCCCCGTAATTACAATTGCCATTTTGTTTCCTCGAATCTGCAATCAGAGCTCCCTGGCCCTGATGAGGGAGCGCCTGTCAACCTGATCGCTGAGTGACAGCCCGGCCACCTTTCCCGGCCGCGCCCACACTCCGAAAACACAAATACACACACACAAACACACACACACTCCCTCGCCTCCTGCAAACACAAACATACACTCCTCGCCAACACAAACAGCCCCTCTTCGCAAACACGCCCTGGCAGGAGCCAAACACACACATTCAGCCTCTTTCCAAACGCATCCCTCGTCCCCCGGCCCACCCCGGCCCCCTCAAATCCGCACCAGTGGGCCCCTCAAATCCACACCAGCCGGCGCGGGCCGCCGGGACTGCCGCTCGCTCCGACGCGCGCCTCCTGCGCCCGGCGTTCAAAGCGCCGCGGACTCTCAGCCAACCGTTCAAATGCAAATCCCCGAGACTTCGTTAAGCACTTCGGGCCCCCGTCTGGGAGTTGTCACCCCTTCGCCCCCAAATACATGACTGCCCCTCCTCCAGCGGTCTGCAAACCCTGGCGCACGCCTTCATCCCTCAGCGCTCTGAGGCCAAAGTGAACTGGCAGCGCTCCTACTGTGCGCTGAGGAGGCAGAAAGGGGATCGAGGAGAGGCGGGGATGGGTGGGAAGGGAGAAAAAACAATTTCAGCTCTGTCTGCGGGGCGCCCTATCGGGCCGGGAAACTCCTGGACGAAGTGGCAGATGTGGATTGGGCCCCCACTGCGGGCAGGAGCGCTCGGCGCCGGCCAGGGCCACGAGGAGACCCACCAAGAAAACAGTTAAGGCCTACAATGAGCGATCAGCGGCGTGCCGGGGGGTAAATATTGGGGCGGCGCCACGCGCAGGGGGGAGATGGGTCGGCCGGGGAGGCTTTCCCGGAGAGATGACTTTGCGCTGCACTCAGCCAGTCTCCTGCTCCTCCAACCAAGCACGCGCGGGGGACTTTGGAGGCAATATAGGCAAGAGGAAGAAGGGAAGGGCTCTAACAGGAGCACTTCTAGTGAGTGAATGAACGAACAAACGAATGAAGTCAGCCTTAGTGACTTATTCCCTCGCCTTCCGCCTAAACTTCTGCGGTGCAAACCACTCGCGGGGCACGTAGGACCCTGCGCCGCGGCGCACGCAGGACCCTGCGCCGCGGCGCACGCCTAGAGCCCTTAGGGAAGCGGCCGGGCGAGCGGCATGGCCGCAGGCGGTTTCAACCTCACCCACCAGAGGGCGCCAGCTCCGCCTTCCCCCTTCCTCCCGACCCCGAGCCACCGGGAAGGTGAATGATTCCAAGCCTGGCTGCCCCCTCCACCCTGGTTCCCGGTGGAAGCACTTCGGCAAAGTCCTGCTGGAGAGGAGAAAGGGGCCTGCGACCCTGATCAGTGCAACGCAAGATCATCTTTCTTTATCCTCAACTGGGGGAAAAGGGAGGTTAAAAATTGGACCTCTTTGCTCCTAACCACAGGGAGGGGGGAACCTCCTCTAGGGATGTATGTTGAAGGAGTGCTTTTCCGTGTTGTGGGGACACTCTTTCCAAAGTTTATCTCACCTGCCCCAATACCAGCCCCCTCGGGTTATCTAGGGACCCCTCCCACTTGTTCACTCATTTGCCCAACAGCCGTGTGGGAGGGAGTGGGCCTGGCCCCACCAGACACTGTTCTCTGTCCATCCTCAGCATGTCTGGCCCCAGGCTGTCTCAGGAGGTAACCTTTTGTTTGTTTGTTTGTTTGTGGGGCATTGAGACCCCCCCCCATCAACACAGCTGCTGAACTGCTGACCCCAGAGTTGGTCACATACACATTCATGCTCAAATCAGGTACATCCCTCTCTCTTCCTGGCACAGCAGCAGCCAAGCCCCAGAACCACCTGATTCCAGGCCCGGGAGACCCAGACCAGGCGGTGTGCTAGGGGGCAGCCCCTTAGCCCAGGAGGCTGAATCCCAGGGGCTCCTCTCTGCCCCCATATGCCAGGCCACCCGGATTCTGGTTTCCCTCTCACCCAATCTGGCCAGCCCCCTCCATCTGGCCCCCGGAATCAGATTTCTAAGGGCGCAGACCAGCTCAGAGACAGCCTGCAAGACTGGAAGGAGGAGCAGACTGGCCTCTGCCCTACCCCTCACAGGCCCTCTCAGGGCCTGAGCCCCCTCATGGGGCTAGGGATGCACATTCCTCAGGCTGCTTAAGCCCCCTTATCTGCCCCCCTGCCCATCAGCCTAAGTGCTGACAGAGGCTCAGACCCCTTGTTTGGATGCTGATAACCTCCTGGGATGGCCCTCCCCCACCTATAGGGACTGGGAATGGGCTTGGTGTTGGGAGGTCCTCTTCTAGAAGGCAGTTGGGGCCCAGGCCCAGCCTGGCCCCAGGGGATAGCAGGACCCGCATTTCCCCGCCTCCCCCAGGCCCAGGGCCACCCTCGGTGCTGCCACAGTGCCACCTGGTGGTCTCTTGGGGAATGCCACCCCAGCCAGGAAAGAAGCCACAGAAAAGAGTTGCAAAAAAAACTCCACACCACTTTATTTCAACCTTTATCCAAAATGTAAAAAGTGTTAAAAATGTGCAGTCCTGAGCTTCAGATGCTGACCTTCAACCTCATAGGCAAGTGGGGAGAGAGGGTCAGGGTAGAAGTTCAGAGGTCCTCCCACTCCTAGAGAAAAGCCCAGGCATGGTATAGGATTAAAAGAACACCAGGACCCTGTGGAGAATGGGACCCCCTGTCTCCTAGCACCAGCCCCAGACCCCTCATCCCCACCCCTTCTCTTCAACGGAGAAGACACAGTTAAAATTCTTGAAACTTGTACAGGAACATGGTGCATGGCGCATGTGGCAGGCAGCTAGCTGACCTGAGGAGAGCAAACAAGGGATCAGCACCTAGGCCCTCACCTGCTCCTCCTGCCCCCTCCCAGACCCTGCTGGGCACCTCTCCCCCCACTCACCAAGGAGGGCTAGGGCCTGCTCCTCTGCTTCTTGGCAGGCAGGATGGGACACAACTCAGCTTCCTCCTCCTCACTCCCCTCTTCTTCACTCTCTCCTTCCTCAGAAACGTCATTGCTTATCGTAACTGGTGGGCATACAAGCAGTAAAGGGAGGGGGAGAAAGTTAAAGCCAGACCTCTTCATACCACGTGTCATTTATTCACACCCTGTGGTGCTACGCTTGCAGGGACTCGGACTTCTCAGAGCTCATGGTCTAGGAGGGAAGAACCTAAGATACTAAACTGAGTGACAAAGAGCCAAAGGAGTCCACATGACTGGAGCTGGAGAAGCTGGGACAGGTTCCATGAAGGAGGTAGGCTTCAGTAGGACAGAAAGTGGAGGGCACATCATGCAGGCCTATAAGGGGGCTGCACTGGGACATAAGGTTGGGATGGGGCAGGAGTGCAGAGTCGGGGGAGGCCTGATGGAGAGTCCCCTGGAGGCAAAGAAGACTCTCACCAATCTGGTGCCGCCCAGTGATCCGCACAGGGCCAGAACCTGACTTCAGGCGGAAGGTTACTGGTGGTTGGAGCTGGAAGTCATCCAAACTGAGCTGAGAGGAAGACAAGGATGAAGGCCTGGCCTACCCCATCTTGTGATGAGCCCTAAGTCCTCAATTCCTACCCTCCCCCACAAGGTATGGCCAGGGAACTCACCATGGGTTGGCAGGACAACTTGAGGTTGGCTACAGGGACTGCAATCTCCTGGTGGTCGTGGTTCCGGGCCACGACTTCTACCACATTACACTCATCTTTGGCCCCCTCGGTGAGGCAGAGCTGGGAAGGGTACACAGGACCTCAGGGTCTCCCCAAGGGAAGGCTGACACCACAAATGGAGGCATCTACCCTAGAACTTGCCCAGCTTCTGAGGTCCCTGAATCACATGGCCAGGGGAGCCGCCCATGGTAGGCAGAGGAAGTGACTCCCAGTAAAGGGGTGTGGGAGGACAGGTAGACGCCCACCAGTTGCCTGCTCAGATCAAGTTATTCACCACCACCCCCCTTCCCCGCCCCTCACCATGGTCAAAGCCAGCACGTGCTCCGCATCATCCTCTTCCTCTACCTTGAAGGTGAAAGAGCGGGTGTGGACGGAGAGCTCACAGCCTGGGAGAGATAACAGTGTGAGCGGGGGGGGGGGGGGGGCGGAGGGGCGTTTCACCAAACCTGTCACGTGCAACCATGGACTGACCGGCCATTTACACGCCCACTTCTCAGGAACACGTGGGGCGCTCGGCCCTGGGCCCCGCCCGGCACATCTTGGGCAAGGGTCTCGCCGCCCCCTTCCGCCCGCGCTGCCGCCTGCGAAGCCCCCTCCGCCCCCATCCACGTCGTGCACCCATCTGCATTCCTGTTCTTTAGCCCTGCCTCTCACCGCCCCCGTACCACCCTCATACCCTCCTTTCCTCAATACCGAAAAAAAAACTGTCCATCGTAACTGGAGCTGGGACCCGCAGAGCCCCGACCGCCCCAGCCCGGGATCGGCTCTCCTGAGTCAAGAACGCTAAGGCAGCGGCGGCGCCGGCGGCCATGCTGCAAGATTTGTCTGGGAACTCCGCCCCCGACACGTACCGAGCGGGGGACTCTAGGCAGTTCCGACCCGCCTATTAAAGGAGACGCTCGCGACAGAGAAGAGGGACCGAGATGTGACCGGTCCAGGGCTTCTTCGCCCAGGAGCCTGCGGCCTCTGCTCAGACCTGTATGGAGACCGCAAAGGGAGGACGTCACATCACAAGCATGGATTTGGGATTTAATGTAAACGTCCTTGCTCATTTCCATGACCAAGGCTGAAAGCGGCTCCTGCCTCCATTTTCTCTCATTCCTCTCACCTTCCAGTGTCTCCCACACTCCCAACCCAGGGTAAGCTTTCATTAAGAGACTAGATATAAAAATGGGAACTTTCTCAACTGACCCAGCAAAGGCGAGTTTCAGGGCAGCGTTTTTCTTATAAAAGCAAAGGAAATGTGCCCCGATTTGCCTTTGCTTCAAGAGAGCCAAGGAGCCTGAAGGAAGACTTTCACCTCAGGGTATTTTCTACCCAAACCACTCCCTTCTCTTTTAGATATGCTTCCTGCTGCAATGACCCTGCAGCTTACTGTCCTGATGTCCTATCTTCATTGAGCTTCGGATGCTGGCTGCATGCTGGCACTTGCTAGCAGAGGACCGTAGCTTAGGTGTAGAACTAACTGCAGCTTCTGGCAGACACACTTTTGGGCTTCTAATTCCAAATCACCCCAGAACATCCTCTTGCCTTGGACTCCACTCCTCCATCCCATAATTTGGGTTACTCCCCCCAATCTGTCACCTTTTGACCAAAGAATAGAGCCAACTGTGTTCCTTATCCTATTAGATGGTGGGAACTCACTCACACTAGCTGCCCTAATTCACACCTAGGTGATAACTGTGGCAAGAGGGTGGCTTGGCCAAGAACTAGTCTTATCTTTTGCCTTGCCTTGAAGAAAATCTGGAAGGAAGTCTTTCATTGGAAATAGGAGTGAGAAAGGGCTGTTTTCAAGATCAAGGGCCGGCCCCACCACTTAGCGGTTAAGTGCACATGCTCCGCTACTGGCAGCCCGGGTACGGATCCCCGGCGGGCACCAACGCACCACTTCTCTGGCCATGCTGAGGCCGCGTCCCACATACAGCAACTAGAAGGATGTGCAACTATGACATACAACTATCTACTGGGGCTTCGGGGAGAAAAACGAGGAGGAGGACAGGCAATAGATGTTAGCTCAGGGCCGGTCTTCCTCAGCAGAGAGAGGAGGACTGGCATGGATGTTAGCTTACGGCTCATCTTCCTCACACACAAAAAAGGAGGAATCCTTGCTTGTATGTGAGGCATGAAAGGCAGGAAAAAAGGTAGGAGGCAGAAACAGGAAGCAAGTTTACACAGTACACCACCACACACATTCACTTCAAGTTTTATTTTGCCTCTTGCATGGTCTTCAGATAGATTTACAGTTGTTTTCTACAGGAACTGAACTGTGATCTAAACAATCAATGAATGTCATTCCAACCTTAATAAATATTCATAACCAGAAGGTAGCACAGCACTTTACAATCCTAGAGTGATGACGGTATAGCCTGGACATCAGTTAGTATCTGTGACCAGAAGACCAGCTAAAGTGATTATTAAAAGCCAAGATAAAGTCACAAGCAAACTTGCTAAAAATCCTGATTCCATGGGAGGTTGACCCTGAAATTCTCCAGATAAAAGGCTAGAATTGTCCACTAGTGTACAAAATGTAGAGAAAATCAAATGACATTAAGCTGTTTTAAACAATATCCTGCAGAGATCTTCCCTTCACCTCAGCCCTTGAAAACACAAATTTGATTCCAGCTTTCCAACATACCATATTCTTCTATCAGTTAAAGGTTTTTGTCCTGAAAATGATGAGGCCTCCTTCCTTTCCTCCATCTTACCCATTCAGTGCACACTCGTTAAGCCTTGGTTGAAAGTCACTAGGTACCACTAGGTACAATGCTTCAAGACTCTCTCAAAGCCCACACCGATGGAACTCTGTGAGAGAAAATGTTTTAAGTTTCCTTCTCCTTGCCCCACCCCCACCTCCAGCTCAAAGTTAAAACAGCTGATACAAAACTGCAGGGATCAAGGTAACAAAATACTATTATGATCTATGGAGAAGTCAGCCAGCCATGATGAACAAATGAATCCTGCAGAGATGACCGGCTAGCCTCATGCTCAGAACCCTTAAAAACACCAAATCTAAATTAAAATACATGAAGCTTTCAGAATCTGTGGTTAAAGGAAAAAGGGTAACAGTAAGTCATTGGTTAAAGTGTACTCAGTCTTTTCTTTTAAAAATTAGATACGAACATGCAAGAATTAAAGACTCTGATTTAATAAAATCAGCAGTAACAGGTCTTGAAATTCAAGGACAACTGATCTGAGGGCAAACAGGACCAATCAGTCCCTGAAGCCTACTTGACAGATGTCAAAACTAACATTTCACATGCTGACCTGCATTGAGGTTAATTTCCAGAAGTGACTGCACTTTGCAACAGATTGAGTCCTATGAAGTTAGGCTCTCGTACCCAAAGGGTCCTGGCCTAGTCCTAGGTGGGAGGCACGTTAAAAATAATAAAACTTCTAAAAAAAAAAAAAGACCAAAGTAAAGAAAATCCACCTCCACTGATTTACATTATTCAAAGTGCCATCTTGAACCACAACCTTTCATTTTCAAAAGGAAAAAAAATTACAAAAACAGTAAACACAAAGGATAGTCAGGTTACAGCTAGTTTATATACAAAAAATTTACAACTTTGTCATTTTTAGGCTTTTAACACAAACAACTGCACATTTGTCCCTACAAAGCACAACATGCCTGAACCAATGGTCACTACAGGAGACAACTGGCCATGGCTTTACAAAAGGCAGAAAAACTGCCCCAAACTGAAGTCAATTATTCAGCTTAAACTACGCCACAACCATCCCACTTGGAATCTCTACCCTGAAGCCTCTAAAACTCACTACCTCTTTCTCATCTCTGCCATGTCCCCAAAGAATGAGAGACATTTCATTCAATAAGCCAAGGAGGATGACAAATGATTTTGATTACTCTTAGGTGAGAAATGCAACCACACTGGATGCAGAAAACAGTGCTGACTACATTTATTGAAGACCCCCTCCCCATAAGCCCATGTAAGAGGTCTTGGCACCTAACCCAAGACCCAAAAAGGAGGCCCACATCTCTGTTTCATAAAGGATGTGCAGCAGTACTATCTTCTTCCAACCAGTGAGTAGTCTCAAAGTGTGATAGGTGAGTTGTACATAGTCTTCTTTGTTTCTAATCCCAATTGGCTGGGCTGATTTGTTGCCGCTCCAGAGGGTGAACTGTATGAAGACCCCAACCACCACCCACCAGGTGCAGTTAAGATACTTTTGAACAGTTCACGGCACCAACAAATATCACAGGCTCCGACCAAGTATAACCACATCCTTTGGAAATCCTTCCATTTTTGCAATTTCAAAACAGCCTAACTTGCTGTAAAATTCCAGAATTCTTTTATCATCTGGTCTCACTTCACAGAAAGCCCCCCGGGAGCCTAGAAATAAAACAAATATTCAAAATGTAAATGTCACTTACTTAGTAGAATTATGGATATGAATTATGATTAATCTTTAATATACTTCAAACAGATCATAGAGTGAGCTTGTCTATACCAGCCCCTAAATTTCATACCACAATTTTAGAAATTCATATTCTATTCAATGAATATTAATATTCATCAATACTGAATAATGCAGTGGTAACTATCTTAAATGATGGCTATGTTAACCAGTTTGAATATGGCGATTATTTCACAATGTATTTCAAATCATCAAATTGTATACCTTAAATATACACAGTTCTTAATTGTCAAATATACCTCAATTTAAAAAAATTCAACCATGAATAAAACTCTGCCCCAGAAAACAAATCTTTTGCGGAAGAGGTTGTAAGAAAACTCAAGGCAAAGGATACCTTTGTTTAATGTTTTAATATAAAGCACCTTTGAGGGGCCCACAGGGCAGAGCCTATTTCAGCCTATGTCACAAGCCAATATAACACATGTATTGTATGTTCATACCCCTGCGTGATTCAGTTCCAAGCACAACACTGAAAATTATGCTTTTTTCAAAGTTGTTTAAATTATCCCACAAAGGGGACACCACTGACTCAAATGATATAAAGACGCAACAATAAGTGCATTCTCATGATCAACAACCCTCTAATGAGGGCTCAACAAGTTGCCCATTTTTGTATTGCCCAAGGGCTAAAACTAGTTTTTTACATGTGTAAAATATAGCTTAAAAAAAGAATACGAAACAGAAACTGTATGTGACCCTTAAAGCCTAGAATACTTTCTATCTGGCCTTTTACAAAAAAAGTTTTCATACCATTAATGTAAAAGCGAAGTATTTCTGAAGATTGAGTTTAGATAACAAACTCAAAAAAATCAGTGACTCTGTATTCCTAAATGAAGTCTCTCCCCAAGGTTCATTTGATTTTCAACTATCATTTATGAGTCTCCCAGCAAACTAAATATAACCTCATGTGTTCACTTCTCATTTAATTGAGGTTCAAAATAAACATTCACAGTGTAAAAGAGCATTTTTCAATGATTAATATACATGCAATTCTTGCACCACTAATAATTCAGAAGCCAAACTATAAATGGTGGGGAAGGGAATGTAAATTCACCGTAATTCACTTCTATCTTTTTATCCTAAAATCTAGTCCTGCCCCCCACCTAGCCTGAACACCAGCAACTCCATAAATATGTACTCACCATTAGCCTTCAGTGAAGACAGGAGGCAAGCCATCATGCTTTTGGCTACACTTGGGTCAGTTACTTTCTTGTGAATATCCATCTTTATCAGAGAAGGAAAGTTGGCAAGGAAAGTTTCTGGCAATACTTCCTGCTCTTCATGGAAACTCAACATTATTTTCTGTAAAAATTATAAAGAATCTCTTGACCACTCATTATATATCTATATCCCAACTACAGAACGCAGCAACAGGAAAAAGAAAGCAGTATTTA